CCGGGCCCCCGGCGGTCCACGGCGGGTCCGGCCCCTCTGGGAGCGGGCTGAGCATGCACCGGAGCAGCTTAACAGCAAACGAAGCTGCGATTTAATCATGCATCGGTGACTGACTGCTTTAGTAGGCTAGCCTGTGTGTTTCTTGCAGTAGGGAATCGGTGTGTGAGGAGAAGGCTGTCTGCGGCCCGGAGCTCTGCTTCGTGGCACCGAGGGGGTTGCCAGCCTCTGGCTGAGCTTGAATTACCAGCTAGGTACAGGTTACAGTCTCTCCCAAAATGGCGTGGCTCCTGTTTCCGAACTGCTGTGGAGCATTCAGGGGATGCCTTGATGTCATGCCTGTTGCTCAGGATGTATTTCGCTTGCTCCTGTCATGGGGCTGGCTGGGCATCACTACCACATGGTAGTTCTCCCGCTGAGTTTGGGCTGTATGCCATCAGCTGTCCTTGTTAAAGGCCCTGACCTACTTAAGATAGACACATGTACAATAGGCCTGACGCTTTTGTTCCCTTCTTTTATGACAAGGGGTCCCAGGAAGGCTGATCCCTGCGGTTCATCTGGCTTACTTTCTGCCCCAACTCTATTGGGCCTTTTGGGAAAAGCATCTAAAACAGGCAGGCATCTCTGCCTGACTGCAAACGTGAAGGAGGGTTGGGAGCTTGATGTGTTTGCAGTCAAAGCTGATAGGTTGTTTTAATTAATTGAGGGGAATGCAGTGTCCAATTTGAAGGGCTTTGATTGTTCACATAATAGATAACAATCAGAAAAAAGTTGGTCTCTTCAACAGTTACATATATGCTTTAATAACTGCAAGTAAAAGAGGTCACTTCAAACACTATGGAGAAAAACTAATTGGCAGTATTAGGTTTAAAGTTTAATTACACTTCCATTTTTAGTTTATCAATTATTTTGAATTGATAATTTTGGGGTGGGAATTTCAGCAGTGTTTTGTGACCTAATTTTGCTCTTGCTGAAGTTTTGTTTTGATTTTATGACAGTATCTCTGAATATGGGAAGGATGCTCTTTGTTCTGAGGGATACCAGAGGAAATTAGATAAGTTACTTCAAGTCATATAAAGCCATTTTACTGTGTTTACGGTTGCACTAATATCAGGGCGCCTAGTATATTTCTGTTAGGAGCAGTGAGAAACTAAGCTGTAGCAGTTTAACTTCATACCTCCAGAAAATAAGTGTGCTGCTCCGCATCTACACTGCCTTCTTATAAATTTGTCTGCTGTAATGGAAGGACATTAAGTGTAAGCAGATGGGCGGGGGATGTGCAGGTGCCACCTTTGCTTGCCATAGACATTTGGAGGTGGCATGCACTTCAAGTCTGTAGAATTGGAAGAACCTCTTTTGTACTGGGATTACATCTGAGTCTGGGAGGGAAGGTGTGATGCAGTGGAAGGGCAAGAGGCTACACAGTCCTTGGTGCCACTGATTCGAAGTAAATTTTTGTATTGACCCCTGTGTGTATGGAATGCATACTAAACTAAACACAGGCAAGGAAACTTTCAGAAATTTTGAGCTTTTAACTTTCTCTGAAAGGCTTTCTAGGTCACTATGGGATGCTGAGGGGATGTACGAGGGAGCCTGCTATGGGAATGTGCAATTACAGGTCATTGGTCAGTTTGAGGGTTTTTTTGTTGTATTTTTTTAAACTTGCTTTGAAGTGGCTGCCCCTGTTTTAAGTAGGTAAATTAGACCAGTGCAGTTTTGTTAAACCTGGCTTACTTATTTAAAAGTACTGGGTGGGGGGGAAAGCCAGAAACATTCACACACACAGAGTGTGTGTAGTACAACTTCATGAACTTTAAAGCAATTTTGCTGGATGGTATGACAACCAAAGAAAGTGGGTCAGGGTGTTTAATAGTCTCAAATCACACAAGGTTATCTTCAAAGAGCTAACCCAGTGCCCATGAAGTTAATGTAAGTTTTTCCATTAACCTTCATGGCCTACGTTTCAGGCAAGCTGACATTAATTATTTTCTGTAAATGAGGGAAATAATACATTTTTCACGTAACATCTCTTTCTAGATAGCAAGCGTAGGAGAGAGTGTGTTGAACAGTGCATGAATTGCATGATTCTGCTTTAAGACTTTGAATTTACAGTTCAGTGGGCAAAGATATTTCATACACTGAACCTTCAGTTGCTTCTCTAGCAAACATTTGCTTTAATGAATTGGTATTTGAGTCATTAGCTGGGGATGAACTCTTTGTAATTAACTTTCTTTTCATTTTCCTGGGTGTTAGTAGATTGGCAAACATCTTGTTTCTTTGCAAGCTTTAGTACTAGGTAGCTTTTCAAAAAGTGCCAATAAAAATAGAATATTTTTAGGTTTAATTGATTTAGCATTTAGAATTCTGTCATCCTAAATTGAGTGAACTGTTACTGAAATACTACTTTTAAGTTCTGCATCTGATGGCATTGCAGAACATTTGCCTGTTAGGACTCAAGGTGCTTGCTTATACCAGTTATAGGTGTCGCTGTTGGTACCGCCTTACTAGGTTGCTTTCTGACCAACATTTAAAATCTGCGTGTTTGTGTGCGTATAGGTATGTATGTCTTGATCTTCGGGGTAGACAACTTCCATCTCACATAGCTAGTTATCCGACTTAAAATTCAGGGACAAAGATGCAGGTAAGAATTTAAAAAAAATTCTATAGAACGGTACACTTGTATTTATTTTCTCTGCTTTCTAACCCTGATAAGAATGTGCAATTTTTATTCAGGTTGGTACACAACTTCATGAATCACAGTTCTCTGCTCAGTAGGTTTTCTTTTTTACTGCAATTTAATGGGCTGGAATAATTTGATAGTGATCTATCTATGTAAGGAGTCTGCACATACATATTTATATATATGTATGTAATGTATGTTTCACTTCAGGTTTTAAGAGAGGTGCAGATCCTGGAATGCCTGAGCCAACTATCTGGAGGTACGTATCGGTTCCAAATGTACATGCAAACCCAATGCAGATGGTTGCCGTTTTGGGTGTTATCTCTGGACAGCAACAGTTGTGAAGGTTGCTTTCATCCATTGTTTTTAATTGTTTAGGGTGACAGCATAGCTGGTCGTGGTTCTTGTTTCTTTAGAAATCCAAACGAGAAGACAGCAAAACATATGTTCTTGGGAGGGTCTTTTTCTTAATCTTGCATGGCTTTTAATATATGGGACTTCCTGTACCTTTTGAGTGGAAGCTGCCCTTCTAATCTGTTGTAGAGCTAGTTTATGCAAGTTTCTGCACTGAGAAATAACTTCTCAGCTTTCTAGCACAAATTTAAAACAAAACCCAGTCTCCTTCTGCCTTTGCAAATATGGTAGTAACGCTGCATAAAAGCTGCATGAAATAAAGGGTTATATGACCTCAATATTAGTCATTGTCACGAAGCAAAGTGCATTTGCTCGTGTCGCCTCTTTCTTGTGGGACTTTTTGTTAGTGCTGCAACGTCATGGCATTAGTAATACTTGAATTCTTGTGGTATTTGAGTTTTACTGGAGGGCTTCCATGGGTCAAACTAATTAAATTAAAGTTTTGAAGAAAGTGCGACTCTCTTATTTTTCTTGAAATAACTTTGGTTACTGTGCAGAACCAGGTATTCTTAAGACAAATAATTGATGGACTGTATTGTTTGCAAAGGCATGTATTAACTCTTCCAGCTTCACATAGTGAAATGTATAGAAATCCCATTTTTAGGATTCAAGGGAGCTACTTTTAACAGTAGAAAATGTGGAAAAAAAAGTGTCAAGATCATGTTACAATTTCAGTAAAATCTTCTGTTGTCTTAAGAACTAACTTGCTGGAGTTGTTTGTTTGCTGACAGTGTTTCTATGTTTAGCTTCACTAGCAGTTTGAGACTTTTTTTTCTTGGTCCATTGAGTGCGTCTCTGCACAGCATAAAGACAGACACCAGAAAACTGAGTATTTCATACCAGAGTGTATGTACATAAATACTAGAAGCATGTGTTTGGTCTGACGCGAAGCTTACAGATGCTCACTTTTCTGGCCACATGTTCATGCTCTGTAGGCTTAAATTTTATTTTAAAGGTGGCATTATTTCAGTATTCTGAGGGCTAGCATTTATTCTGTACGTTTACAGGGCTGTTCCTCCAGACTTTTGTTTTACAAATATCTGTTTAAAAACAAGTACATGCTGCAAATCTGACTTTCGTTTCCTCCCCACTCCCCTTTCAGTCTACTTTGGGGATGAAGGATGTGGCGGTCCTGTTCTAGAACCAGCCGATGGACAGAGAAAGTGTCTGAAGATACGTACATTCCAGAGGATGAGGCGGACACTTACACCAGCTGGCTCAATCAGCTTGCTAATGACATAGGTTGTACATACAACAAAATGGAGTTTATATGGACCTAACTTATTTGCATTACAGTGTAATTAAATAAATACAATTTGAATGGATACGCTTTGTTTTTAAGTCTTTAAGTATAATGTAGTAATTTCTTTATTACAGAAAGGATAACCCATTGTGTGGTGGTGGTTGCCCCCCCCCCCA